TTTGCGATATTGGAATTGAATGTTACGAATTTTTAATAACAATTTTTAATTAATAAAATTTTTGTAATTAAATATTAAGGATTTTATAATAATAAAATTTATTTGTACATTTTTCTTTTAAATTTTGATTAATTCTTAATTACAGTGATGACAATTGATTTTTGATGTACATATATGGAAAATATTTTTTTGATATTTAATTTGACAGATTTAAAATTAATAAAGATTTTTGCAATAACAATATGATTATTTAAGAAAATAAGTAATTTCTTTGAAAATAATTTATTCAAGTTATTTATAATTGCTTACAATTATTTCAAAGTTATGCGATAAATATTAAAGCTAAATAAAAAATTAAAAGGTACTTTGTTGTCAAATTAGATTAATGGTTGTCAAATTAGATTAATGAGATATTTTGACTAGTTCAAAAGAGTGAAAAATGACATTTTAAAGGATCAATTCTGTCATTATATGGCAACAATATTCTTTTAACTTAATTTTAAATTTAAAGCAGAAATAAATGTTCGATTCCGAATAAAAGGGAATTTTCTTTGAGTGCATTAAAAAATTTTTTGATTTCATTAAATTTTTATTAAAGTTTTTTACTATAAAATTGCAAAATAATTTAAAATGCTTTAATCAATAAAAAAATATTATTGCCAACTATCGTAAAAGCCGGTATTTTTTGTTTTTTCCATGACACTTAATAATTCGATATAAAAATAAATTTTTTTTATAATAAGCGAAGTGGGATTAAAAATGAAAAGTGAATAAAATTTTTTTTTTTAATCTTTATGAAAGACAGCATCGACTTTGATTATGATGTAATTTTTAAAAGCAAAAAAAAAAACAAAAAATCATTTTTTTTTTTCAATTTTATTTTAATATTATAAATTGATATTAAAGATAAAATTAATGGAATTTTTCGAATATTTTAAAGAAAAAAAAAAATTGTTTCTTTATGCCAATTAAAACCTTGAATAGATTAACAACACCGTAATTAGGCTTCGTAATCTATTTTTTTTTTGTTTTACTACATAGTTATGTGAGTAATTGAAAAATTTTTAATTTATGTTGTAAATAATTGAAAAACATTCGATAATTTTTGATTAAATTTTAAAAGCAACTCGGTTATGTCTAATTAATGGTATGATAATATTATTGTAATTATATTGAATACAAGTTTGCTATGATTTTCGGTAGAAAGGTCTTTTGGTAATTTTTATATTTAACAGACAAATAATAAAATTGATTAACAATTGAGGAATCAAATTTTGGAATTTAGACTTTCTAACACTTAGAAAATAAAACCTCACATTTGCATATTTTTCGTTCCTTACGCCAATTTTTCCTTAAAACAAACCACACCAAATGAGTTTTTTCAATGTTATCGTTAAATACTTTTATAAATATTTCGAATGTACGTACTTATGTTCCAATATATAAAGCCGGAATGGCAGTTGTATAATTATTAACAGATATATTTATAAACACAACGTTTTCAAATATCTAAATTTTTGATATTTGAAAAATGTAAATTTCAAATTAAATTATTTATATTGCAAAATTTTTTTAAAACCAAATTCTTTCACTGTTCCACGTTTGACTCTTTAAAATTACAAGATTTCATTAAAAAATTATTTTGTGCACACGTAACGTTAGTCAAACTCTGGCAATTCTTTAATTTCATATAAATCACAATATAGTCACAATTTTAATCAAATTAAAAAAGCCAATTTTTTTAAATAATAATTATTAAGTACTTAATTAAATTTATTCCATTCAATTGCCCTAACAAATTCACTAAAAATTTGTCACTCCATTTAAAAAAATTTCACTATTGAATAAATTCACCTAATTTTCTTAATGAAATTTTAAACAATTTTCACTAAGAATAGTAAGTATAGCAGTAATCACTTGAAATATCCTAACTAGTAAGCATATGGTGAATATTTGTAAATACTTAATATATTTAGATATTTTTTAAATAATTTTAGATTTTCAATTTTCTAGAAAAGAATATCATAAACATAAAATCTACATACATATATTGCAGTATAGTATGAAATGGAATTATTCGCGACCCGCGAAACTGGTTAGTACTTAAACGAATTGAAAAATAAATTAAAAATCTATACCTTACAATTTAAATATCCTCATAATTGTGTAATTTTTTATTGTTCTTAAATTAAATGGAAATGTTAAAGACTAAAATGATTACAAAATAATGTTGATAATTTTTAAAATACGAATAGTACACAGGTATGTATTAATGTATGTGCATATATTGCACATTGTGTATAGCACGCAATATCAAATATTTTGTTTACATTGAAGTAAAAAAAAATTTTTTTTTATTCTTCCTTATATGAAGATTCCTTTGCATCGTATCCGCACGTGTTTGCATTTTATGCAATGAACATAAAAATTTATAGCACGTGAAGTAATTACGATATTATTGCCATAATATAACTATATAAACTATTTATAAATTCTGTGTATATGAAAATATAAAAACATAGAAAGTTTAAAATTCTAGTATTATTTATTTTAAGAACTAAGTAATCCAAAAATTGTACTAATTATTGGGGCTTTATATACATAAGTTTTTACGCAATAGTACTCGTATGTATGTAAAATTATGTTTAATGATATAAAAGATTCCTAATAATTTTTGGTGTATAAAAATGTACTATTCAATTAAAGTACAATAATAAAATATTCAAAATTTAATTTATTTTTCCATTTATGAAAATTTCAATTATTTCGAATTAAATTCTTTTAAAACTTCACTAAATTGCATTTAATAATTATCTTGTTTATTTCAAATATATTTTTTTTATTATTATTATTATTGAACATCTTTATTGGACTAATTATTGTTCTTAATTCAATTTGTAATTTTCTAGATTTATTAATTTATGATTATTTGAATACCTTATGCACTTATGTTTTATTACTTACTACAACAATGCACTTATCTGTTTTTCAAATTGCAATTAAAAATTAAATTTATTCCTTCATACTTGAAATTGAATTATTAATCGATTCGAATTTATTTACTATTTATTTTTATCAATCAGATTTGATTCTAAATTATTAAATAATAATTATCTATTTAATTAAAATCTTTTATCTTTTTTATCATTTAAGAATTTTCCGTTTATAATTATGTTGCTGTTATCATCATCATTATTATTTCCGTAAACAATAAACTACATAGTAGTGTGATATTTTTGCTTTTGTTTTTTTTTTTTTTTACACACTTTAATATAGAACAATGCAATAAAAATAATGGTAATTTATACGAAACAACAATAATAAGATAAAAAATTTAAATAAAAAATAAGAAGAGAGAAAAACCGTAATGCTACAAATAACCCGTGCTGCAACAACTTATAAGGAGAATCGAATCAAACTGATGAATGTTGACGAAAAAAAATGCCGATTGGTATACGATTTACTACAAGAAATAAAAATGAAAACAGAAAAACATGAAAAGAATAAAATTAAATAAACATAAAAACGAGCACAGCAATTTTTGTTGAATGAAAATACAACAATATCGTAAAATTTTCAATTTGTTTATTTTATACTTTTGTGATATTTTAGAGATGGGACTATAATGTACTAGAATTCGTTTTGTGTTATTACAGTAAAATTCGAGCAAGTGAAACTTTTTAAACTGTTAAGCATCTATTTTATCGACGTTATAAAAAATGGGTTTGAACAGGTTTACAGAAGTTTGCATGTATTCTGAAAAATTTTTACATAGAAAATATTTATTCGATAGCCGAAGTTAAGAAAAAAAACAATATTGAGTATTTTAGGAATTTTCACTGTTGAGACAGTAATGATATAAAATTCGTGAATTTTATATGTATGTATTTGTATGTATAAAGTCATATATTTTTAAAATGTAAATAATAATAATAAAATAAGCATCTCTGTGCTTACAGGGTGGTAAGCCAATTTTGAAAGTTTTTAATTTTGTAAAGGAAATCGATTTTTTTTATTTTAACTTATATTTTTTTTTCAAAATTTTCTTAACGTACCTTTATTTACACTCACTCAGTAGTTTCGAGATTATCGATCAAAATATAATATAAAAAGAAATTTTAAAAATATTTAAATCTGATAAAGCTAATTTTCTTTCAACCAGTTCTTCTTAAACCAATCCGTCACAATAAAGATTACGATAAACAAATTTTTACAGAGAATCAATGGTATATTTTGGATTGTGTCTTCACTAACAAAGTAAAATGTGGTAAAATTTTAAAGTGCTTTTAATTGTGAACTGTCGATTGTGAATTTTATTAAAACGAGACAAACTTTTGAAAATCGAAACGTTTTGCGTGCACCATTTTTATGATTGAAAATTATTTAGTTTATTTCACTTTATGTAAAAAATTAAAAAAATAATATTAACTTACTCTTCTAAATAATGATTTTTATATAAAAAGAATTTCGAAATAGTCATGAAAAAATTCAACAGGAATCTCGAATCATAGCATAGAAACTGCTAAAAAAGCACAATGTGTGAAAGGCAAGACACAAGCATTTTCTAAAAAGAATTCCTTAAAAACGGTAAGCTATTTAATTAAAGTAAAATAGAAAATAAACTTGGCATATAAATAAAAATAAGACCTATTAGTTGTGATTCTCACAAATACAAGTAATTAGGTAGGTACATTTTATAAAATATCTATAACAATAAATAGTTTTATAGTTATTTTGTTTCAACCAAAAAAAAGTGAACATTAATTATGAACAAGACGTTAATTTATTGTTCATAGTTGAGAACTATCCAACTTTTTTTCTTGAATTCTCGATAGACTTACAAGTATATATTGTATTTTAAATAATTTGATCACAAAATCGTATACTTTTCAATTTGATAAATTTTAAAATATAATTTATAGATTAAATTACAAGATAAAAGTATAAGAATATTCAAATTTTTCTTTTTTAGTTTTGAATGTGTTTTTTTATTTGATCCATTGTAAGTTTATAATACAATTTACATCTCATGTTTTCATATACATAACTTTTTATATTTACTTCTATATCTTCTGCTATTAAAGCTCATATTATAATAACTTAAAATATAAATTTTGGAAAAGAAATGTAGGTACCTTAAAGAAAAGAAGATTTTTAAAAATTTCATCTTATTTTGTGAATTCGGTTTTAAATGTTTTATAGGAGCTCCAAAGAATTTTCCAATTTTTACAATATTTTAATATATTTGTACGTCTTACAAATTAATGCCTCTTATTCAAACATACATTTTATAAAATTAACTTAAATATTAACATTAATCGAATCAAAATCAGGAATTTAATATTATATTTAATGACGAGAGGAACATTTAAATGAAAAAAATTAAGAAAATTTAAATTTCAAAATGATAAAACCTCCGAATTAATAAGTTTTCAATTGACTACGGCTGTTAACAATCGACACTTAATTGGCAATCAAATTTTATTTTTCAAATTTGAATTAAAATTGTCGCAATATAAACTTTTATATAATTCTGCGAAATTAAATTTGAAAAGTTTCTTCGCAAATAAATTTAATTCAATTTTTTTTTTCTGATAATTTTACGTTTGAAAATCTTTGATGGGGACAACGGATATTTATTTACCGATAATTTAAGTTTATTTGTAATAAAAAATATAGATATTAAATTTTTCTGGTTTAAATTTTTTTTTATATATAGGTAGGTATATTTATTTATGGTTTATGGTTTTAATACAAACTTTCAGCATTTGATGATCTTGGCTTTTTAAGTTTTTCAATATTTTTAATGACAATGTCATGTAGCGATGAATATCGATTTCTTACTTCACACACAACTAACCATAAACTTAAATATTCCTTTTCATCCAATTCATTAACGGCACGACGATAATCATCTATATGGGGATATTTTGCTACTTTTGACACAACTTTTGCCCGCGATAGAAAATAACGTGAAATCTGATCAAAGAAAGCAGCAGCCTCAGACTCAACAGCCTGAATTTCAGCTAATGTATCTTCTTGAATTGATACTCCAAAATTATTACCATCTTCAATTTTCGGTATCATAAACGATATCCACATTTTAAGAAGATTTGCTGAAAATTTTTAAAGTAAAATGTCAATTTAAAAAAGCAAGCGATTTTATTAAAATTCGTACTTACAATCTTCAACTAATGTCCTTATAATTGGTTTGACCAATTTAATCATATCGCATAATGGTTGATTACATGGTACACTACCATTAGGTAACGCCATTACTTTTGTTCCCGGTATAAAATGCGCTGTTTCATTATCTAATCTAGGTCGTTTTAATGATGGTTCATCCGAGCTGCAACCAGCCCCGTCATTATTACCACAGTGATTTGTAAGTACTATTGGGTCAGGAACAGGAATGTTTAATTCTTGGTGAACTTCGCTAAAATTTCTATCAGAAAACATTGGAGTTGCCAATAGATCATTTAATTCAACTATTTTTTCCGGGAATCCATACGTAATCAATTGTTCAGCTTTTTTGATTAAACTGTCTTTATAATCTTGGACCTAAAAATTAAATCAAATGTTCGTGTTATACATATGCACTTTAATATAATTTTAATTAAAAATTTCAGAAAACAACAACGATTAAAGCACCTGGCGTATTGCCATTTTATAGGTGAAATCAAAATGTCAAGATTATTTTTTTTAATACGAAATATCCATCATTATAAATTTCGTATTAAGGATCCTTTCAAAAACTTATTTATTTTTTTCTAGAAAAAAATCAATTATAAAATTTAATTGATTGAAATTCTTTAGTCCTCTAAATATCCATATTTTAAATATTAAAGCCATTTTACTGAAGCGGCAAGTTAAAAATCTTTTTAAACACATGGTTATAACCAAACTTCAATTGCCATTAATGGCTTAACAAACAAGAATACTTATGTTAAGTCAAATTAGAAAAACCTCTTAAGGCGGGCAGTTTTAACTTACCTTTTTGATAGTATCATGAGACATCTTTTTATGTACTTGATTAAATTATTTATTTTAATTATTATTTTATTTTTATTAGTTTTAGCCTTATATACTGAAAGTAATTTTCAAGTAAATGTATTTTTTGTTTTGAATTGATTTTTGAAATGCTTCTTCTTCGGAGCAAAAATCAAAAAACTGCTTTTAAACGTCAGACTGTGTTCTAAAATTCTAATAAGATTATGACGTTATTGCCAGACAACAATTACTTTTCGTCAAAAATAAATGACAACTGAATGCTTCGTTAAATGTTAAAACAAATTCACAATCTAAAATTCACGATGTAAAGATCAAATTTAATATACAACCATTACATTTTGCAAGAATTGAAAATAAAAACAACAGACAGAAATTTTAATAGAAAAATATAGGACCTAAACTATTTTAAACAAGAATATTACTTGTGCTACTGAAATTTGAAGATCAAACCAAAAAAATCTAGTTTTCTGCCACGGTTTAAATGAAAATTATGACAATATTTCTTTACTTGCTTTCTAGCACACTTGAAATTAAGAACTTCATTGTGTTTTAAAATTCCAATTTAAGCAACAGTTCCAATTTGTATTTTAGAAAAGATAGTTTCAATTTTATAACACACTCAAATTGTATCCGCCAAATTGAATTTTCATTACACAACGTTTAATTGTTATTATCTAACATAAGATATAATAATTCAATTAAAAGTTTTTTAAATATCAAGGAATAGCCCTAGTGCCGAAAGTCAGGGAATAGAAAAATATTTAGTACTGCATATTCACTAATATTCGACTGTAAAACAGCTGATAAATATTATGTTTCAGAATTTGACAGTTTGACGCACATAAATAAAAATAGATTTGTTTTCTTTGTTTAGGAAGAATTCATGAAAACTAAAATTTTAATTTCAAAATAACTCAATTAGTTGAATTCTTATCAAAAAAGATAAATTATCAGTAATGGATTATGAAGAAGAAGAGAGTAATATTATAGTTCCACAACAAAATTTAAATGTGATAAATGATCAGAATACCGTCGCAAATCATTCAAGAGCAAATGAAGAATTGTTAGAACGCTTTAGTGATGAGAAAATTTTAAGCCGGAAAGATATTAAATCAAAGAAAGAAGAAAAAAGAGAAGCTAAACGAAAGAGGAAAAAACTATTAAAAAAGCGTGCTAAACTAAATGAAAAAATGAGTTTGAAAATGGTAATAAAAGATGAAAAATGTTCCCACAGTCGAATTGAAGACGATCCGAATTTTCTGACAGAAAATGTTAGAATAAAAAAGGATCATGATACGGTGCTAAATGAAACTGAAAATGAAGAAATTGAAGAGCAATATTATAACACTGAAGTTCTTCCAAAATATAAAAAGTAAATTTAAAAATATTTAAATATAAAATAAATTTCGAAATTTATTTAACTTTTAAATTCATTTCTAGGTATAGAAAAGAAGAGGCACATTTAAGTAAAGAGACTTTTGTAAATGAAACAACAGATAATACAAATGAAAAAGAATTGGAATCATCAGATGAAAATAATTGTGAAAAGGTTAATGCTGATATTGAATCTGATGATGAAGATTATGATCAACAAGGTGAGGGTGTATTAAAAGATTTCGTTAAACAGCTTGTTTCTAATATGAAAACAAAACATGACGAAGTTGATAAATACTTTTTGGTTCTTGCATCAACAATAAAAAAATGTAATTTATCTAAATTAGAATTGACACAATTACAGTGTAATTTATTAACATATTTAAAAGATGAGCTAATCAAAATGGGGAAAATGTAAAAAAAAAAACATAAAATGTGCTGATATACATAGAATTGTAATATTGTAGAATTTTAATGATTAAATAGTATAATAAGAGTACTTTTAATTAATAAGTATTATAATAAATAAAAATCAATACTATTAATATACTTACTGTCGTTTATTTTGAAATAAACGGACAATTTTATGTCTTTTAAACAAAAAAACATTTTTGTTATTGCATTACTTTAGTCTTCTCAAGTCTTTGAAACAATTTTTTATGGGTAAGAGAAGAATGGGAAGGGATTCTGCACTCAGATTAATTTAAAATATATTTCATTACTTTTTATAGTTACCTACCAGTTTTTGCACTTAATTTTTCACATTTTCTAATTAAATCACATTTATATTTTACTATAGGTACCGAAGTTATACGTTATAGCTTTCTGTTATGACTTTGTTATTACCAGAAGCACTACACCATTGTTATACTTATTAAGACTATATTTATTAAAGTTTTATTATTAATATATTTTAATATTTAATTTGTACCGCATATAGTAACCTCAAAAATATGCAATCTCATAGTCATAATTACAAAAGTTCTGATAAAATTAAAAAAAAAGGCAAAGGTATGTAGGTATCTAATATTATTAATTTATTATTTCACTGTTGTTTACTCAAAAAATTGTTAATCAGAATTATTGGGGTATCCCAAATTGTATAATCAATTTTCTTTCAGATTTATAATGTTTAAAATCAAGTTCAAGAAATAAATGTAAAAATGAGTGCAATATCAGAAACTATTAAAATTTAAGGAACACTTGTGAAGGTTCAATAAAATTTATCCAAAAATTAATTAAAATCGCATACAATGTACCCACAGTACCTACTCCAAATCCATCATAATCCTTTTTCTTCTAAGTTTTGTTTTGCAATAATGAAAAAAATACTTTCTTTTTTTGATTAATGATTAAGTTATTGTTAAAAAGATGACTATAGATCATAAGAGAAAATTTTAACAATATATTTAAAATATGCCACGGTTTTAAAATATGCCCAGTCATTTGAATTGCTTTTACTACTTACACATTGTTGTACAAAGTTTATACTAAAGAATCAAGGATAATATTTTTTTGCCGTACAACAAAATTATATTATCCAAATTCTGCTAATATATATTGCATATATTTAATATGTACATATATGTATAGGCGTGTAGAAAATGATGATAAAATTTACAATAGAACTAATCAATTGTAAATAATTGGTATTATATACATACATACAAACATTATGTACATTTATTTACAATATCATACTATCGATTAAATTTAATATTATTTTATGAGTGATTTTTACAAGCAGTAATATGGGGTAATAGTTTTTGTTCTATCGAGCTTAGATATTTTTGTATTAGAATAAAATTATTGTTTAATAATTTGATATATTATTTATGACAATATTGATTTAATATTTTAAAATTTCTATCGTATGTGAGAATGTTGTAAATTTCTTATAAATTATGGTATATATAAAAGAAAAATGTTACTTCAAAGTTCGCTGACCACCTTATGTATAGATATATGCAATGTATATAAAATACCTTAAGTATATGACAAGTATAAATGTTTAATGAAATAAACATGAGAATTCCAAAATATCCACGGTATCACCGAAATTTTTCTTGTTACAAGATGCAGATCATTCTGTTTTATGCGTCTGAGAGTACATAGTTTTATAATTATTGGAATTAATTCAATGGGTTTCAAGCCATTGCTATCTATCTTTTGTGAAATTTATTCTGCTATATTAGTTCGATTAATTATTTATTTGCATTCCTTTACAATTAACTTTTTATTTTTGGAAAAAACTCTGGGAATTTCGAATTACGAACTCCATTCTGGGTTTGATTTTTAAAATATGTATAACAAAATTAAATTTCATGAATGATTGTTAAGCTTTGTGAAAGTGTTTAAATACACGCTACATGTCAACGTTCTTAGACACGTCATACGCCTACAAATTTTATTTGAAATTTTAATTCATTCGAACTAACTATAGTACACAATATATTTTAATAATAATTATTATCGATTAAATAATTTATAAACTAAAATATTATAAAGTTTAAATCAATAAATTTAATTTCTCGTGCATATAAGAATTTAATAATAATTTTATAATATTTTCTTACTTTAATTCTTATTGCCTAGCAGAGTGATGGTTTTTTACCCCAGACACAACTGACAATTTGAAAATAAAAGTTTATCTTTTATTTAACACACACATATACGTATGTAATTCAATTTTCAATAATAAAATTTAATTTTACGTTATTTTAAATTTCAGATTTAAAAATTCCAATTATAAATCGACAAAAATATAAAATAGCGGGAAACAAAAAAATTATTTTATTTTATTGATTCACAGTCAAAACAAAAAAAAAAAAAATACAAAATTCATCAAAAAAAAGGGGGCGAGAAAGAAAAATGGACAGTTTATTTCTTCCAAATTTTTATTTTATATTGAAGGGCGAGCATAAAAATTAAATCATAGAATTTTTCGCTATTTATTTTGCTCTTTTAAGTGTCCTTTTGAGTCCTTTTTAATTTCATTTTTGTTATATGGTTTTTTATTATCTTTTCTTTGTGTTCTAAATTTAATAATAGCAATTTCTGATTAAAAATTATAAATTTGATGACTTTCAATCATAAAATGTTAAGCAGCAAAAGAAAAATTTTAAAAAGAAATTCGAAATTTTTATTTTGGTGGTCGCAAATACAATTTATCAATACCTGAAACACAAGGAATACTGGTGTGAATGCAATTTAAAAGTGGTTATTCCAGCTGAAATATTTGAACTGCAAGATAGAAACTTCAACTGAGATTATGTTTGGAACATCTGGGTCTGAAAATAATAAAAAAAATTAACTAAAACGGTAATGTAATAAATTTACAAGTGTTTACCCAAATGTAAATCTAAGGCCAATTTTACTAATTCAGCAATTAAAATTTTATTTTTTGGTAGACGTCATAGGCTAAATTCAAAGTCTAGGTGATATACTAAAGTAAAGAACGTGAATATTTGAATAGCATAATGTTAATTTCATGAGATGAACATCAAAAACTCTTATAAATATAAGCAAACGTGTATAATGCAATTCTAATATTAATTTTAATTCCGATTTCACATGAATTTAAAATTTCCGATTTTAATTTTGTCGAGCTATTACTCGCACATTATTATCTAGTACGCTCTATAACTTTATTGATATACAGTATGTTTGTATAGGCTATTTGACAATTTAAATAACACATTCTCCCTAAAAGTATGCAATTGTGAAGATATTTTTATTTTTCATTTATTAAAATGAATTTTTCTTTAGAAATTGGTTCTTACTGTGATTAACAGGAATGTTTATGACATTTGATGATTATGTAAATCGGGATGTAAAGGAACCAAATATATTTCTTTTATTGAAACCAGAAATGGGTCCCCAAGCAATAAATCGTAAAAAAAAAACAAAAAAACCCATAGAATAAATGGAAATTACAATATGAAAGCGAAAAATATTGCTTTGGAGTTTTTGAAATTAAAAATTATAAAGAAATAAAAACATTATAAAAGAAAACAGATTTGAAAAAAAAGAAATTTTAATGACCAAACAAAATACAAAATTTTATAACGATTTTTGTTTTTTTTTATTTTATTTTACAATCGTAACTTGTGCTTCTATTAAATTGAATATTGCATTGGAAAATGAGGGTTTATTTTTTATATAAAATTTCTTGTTAATAAAAATTGTACAATATAAAAAAAAATTATTTATAGAAGTCTAATTTGGTTCGTTTTTATAACAAAGCTAAAAATTTTCTAAAATAATTTCACATATTAAATTTGGAGAGCTTATTAATATAGAGACCTGAAAGCTACGTGATACCAATAATTTTCTGGGTCTCTTGAATCCTTTGAGTGAACATCTTAATTCCTTTGTGAAATTTCAATTGTGTAAGTTTTACGCTCTTAATTTTAGCCCATTTTTATTCATATAGAGCGGCATATAATTGAAATCCAAATGAATAAAACAAGAAAAGTGGAATATCTTCATGAAGGAAACAAAAAATTTCGCCACTTTCAAATTAACTTTAGTCAATTGTTTAACCTGCATCGCCATCTGCAATTATTTATTATTTTATATAATCTTTCTTCCGACCGAAATTATTCATTCAAACAATAAAATTTTTAAGCAAGGATGACAAAATATTTTTCCTAAATTCCATTTCCACTTAAGGATAAATTTTATTTGATTTCAATTAATTTTTTAGTAATTTATTTATAAAAGTTTATAAAAATATTTTTCATATTCCCTACAAGCACGTATAATCTATGAATGCATACGAGAAATTTCGAACACTGCTTTGGATACTTGCATACAACCAAACAAAATTGAAGCCCAGATATAAATGAATTTCCAAAAAAGAAATAAAGAACAAGGAGAAAAACTAAAAAAGCAAAAATAATATCAGAAATTCTATTTGGGAATCGATTATCTTTGGCTGGTAACTAAATTTTTATGATCTGTAAATAATCTCTTGTTGTTGTTTCCTCATAATTTGCGATTCGATGAAAATATATCCAAATATTTTTTTTATATTATAAAAGATACCAGAAACCATCACAATTTTTATTTTATTACAAATAATCATGATTTTTATACTATTATCTTTTTTATCTTCTTTGTTTGTCTGATGTCTAATGGGATACTAAAGCCAATATATAAATTTATATATCCATATAGTATGGGTATATGTATGTGTGTATAGATATTTGGTATCCATAACTTGATTTCAATTTCATTCATGATAATAAAATAAAAACAGTTTTGCACAAAAACAAAAAAGAAAGAAAAAAAAATAATTTTTGGTCAAGGTCAAGGAAACAATTTTTATTTTTTCCACATGATATTGGCAGTGATGGAAGGAAAGCATCAATTTGGATAACATATACTAGAGAATTAAGGTAAAAAATGATAGAAAAGAAAAAAGGAGTATAGTTGGAAAAAAAAAGTTTTAGGAATTGCAGACAAAATGAAGAGAAGAGTAAAATTACGATAAAATCAAGAAAATTGTGATAGAATCAAAAGATAGGCGTGATATTGCTATAGGATCCTCGAAAATAAATCAATTATAATGT